TCAAAATAGATCAAAGACCTAAATGTGAGCACTAAAAGTATAAAACTCTCTCAGAAGAAAATATAGCAGTTAATCTTTGTGACCTTGGGTTAGGCAATGATTTCTTAGATATGACATCAAAAGTGTATGTGATTAAAAAAAAAAAAGGATAAACTGGACTTTACCAAAATTTAAAACTTTTCTTTTTCTTGTGTTTCTATTATTTTTTTATTGAGGTATAATTGATATACAACACTATAATAGTTTCAGATACAACATAATGATTTGATATGTGTATATACTGCAAAATGACCACCACAATAAGTCTACTTAACATCTATCACCATACATAATTTTTTTTCTTTGATGAGAACTTTTAAGATTTGCTCTCTTAGCAACTTTCAAATATGCAACAGAGTATTAACAACTATAGTTGCCATGCTGTATATCATGTACACCATCTCATGACATATTTATTTTGTAACTGGAAGTTTGTACCTTTGGACGCCCTGTACCCATTTCGCCCACCCCCCACCTCTGGCAACCACCAAACTGTTCTCTGTATCTATGAGCTTGGTTTTTTTGTTTTGTTTAGATTCCACATGTAAGTGAGATCATAACAGTATTTGCCTTTCTCTGTCTGACTTATTTCGCTTAGCATAATGCCCTCGAGGTCCATCCATGTTGTCGCAAATGGCAGGACTTGATTCTTTTTTATGGCTGAATAATACATACACCACATTTTCTTTATCCATTTATCTGTCAGCGGACATTTAGGTTGTCTCCATAGCTTGGCTATTACAAATAATGCTGCAACAAACATGAGGGTGCATATATCTTTTTAAGTTAGTGTTTCTGTTTTCTTTGAAGAAATACCCAGAAGAGGGATTTCTGGATGTGGTAGTTCTACTTTCAGTTTTTTGAGGAACCTCCATACTGTTTTCCACAGTGGCTGCACCAATTTACATTCCCATCAACAGTGCACAAGAGTTCCCTTTTCTCCATTTCTCCACATCCTCACCAACAGTTGTTATTTCTTGTCTTTTTTTTTTTTTTTAAGATTGGTACCTGAGCTAACATCTGTTGTCAACCTTTTTCTTTCCCTTCTTCTTCTTCTTCTTCTCCCCAAAGCCCCCCAGTACAGTTGTATATTCTAGTTGTGGGTCCTTCTGGTTGTGCTACGTGGGACGCCGCCTCAGCACGGCCTGATGAGCAGTGCCATGTCTGCCCCCAGGGTCCGAACTGGCAAAACCCCAGGCTACTGAAGCAGAGCGTGCGAACTTAACCACTCAGTCACGGGACTGGTCCTTATTTCTTGTCTTTTTTTATTTGAAAAAATTTTCTTTTAGGGGCAGGCCTGGGAGCACAGCGGTTAAGTGCGCACGTTCCACTTCTAGGCAGCCCGGGGTTTTCCGGTTCGGATCCTGGGTGTGGACATGGCACCTGTTGGCAAAAGCCATGCTGTGGGAGGCATCTCACATATAAAGTAGAGGAAGACGGGCATGGATGTTAGCTCAGGGCCAGTCTTCCTCAGCAAAACGAGGAGGACTGGCAGTAGTTAGCTCAGGGCTAATCTTCCTCAAAAAAAAAATTCTTTCCTGTTGATGAGGACGATTGGCCCTGAGCTAATATCTCTGCCAGTCTTCCTCTATTTTATATGTGGGACGCTGCCACAGCCTCAGCTTGATGAGCAGTGTGTAGGTCTCTGCCTGGGATCTGAACCTGTGAACCCTGAGCCGCTGAAGTGGAGCACACAAACTTAACCACTATGCTGCCAGGCCAGCCCCGAGAACATCTATTTTCAAATGTATGTAGGTCATCGAGGCAATGGGGCTTGTAATGGGCAAAGGGATGGCTGAGGTGCAGTGAGAGGAAGACGATACTCAAGGACACTGGAAAGGACAAAACACACTAGGTGACAATGCATCTGTGTTTCCTGTCGCTGGCTAAACTCAACATCAACCACCATATTCTGTCTGGGCTTCATCACAACTAAGGAGAATTAAAGAGATCAGGGAAAAAAAGACCCAAGAGGAAAGGTGCCTGAGGGAGAGGATTTAAGCCAAACCTAGTGCCACTGAAGGACCTGTTATTTTCTAAAGAGATTAAACTAAAAGATAAAAGTGTTTACAATAAACACATATGAAAAATGGTGAGTGTGTTCAAAATAGAAGAGGTTATGACAGTAGCCCAAAGGCTGTCTTCTTGAAATCTGTTAGAGATCGGCATTTGCTTAGGAAAGGTAGAATGTGATTCTGCCCAAAGGTGAGACTTTCAAGGTTTCTTCTAGGATGACTCTGTGATTTTACGACCTAATGATTGCTCCTATTACCAAAAGTACTCATGACAGTGATACTATTTACTAAACAGGTACTTGCCACACACCGTGGTAGATACTTTTGTGACAATCCTGCCCATTAGGCATTATTATCTTCATTTTACAGATGACGAAATGATGATTAGCAAGATGAAGTAATATATGCCCAAGGTTAATGTGGTATAATAAAGATTACATTTGGCTGACTTGAAAGGCAAGGGAAACAAAAGCAAAAATAAACAAATGTGACTACATCAAGCTGAATAGCTTCTGCACAAGGAGGGAACCATCACCAAAACAAAAAGGCAACCTACTGAATGAGAGAAGATACGTGCAGATCGTATGTCTGATACGGAGTTAATACCCAAAATATATAAAAAACTCATACAACTCAACAACAACAACAAAACAGCCCGATTAAAAAACGGGCAGAGGATCTGAATAGACATTTTTCCAAAGAAGACAAACAGATGGTCAACAAGCCCATGAAAATACGTTCAACATCACTAATCACCAGGGAAATGCAAACCAAAACCACAATGAGATATCACCTCACCTGTTAGAACAGCTGTTATCAAAAAGACAACAAGTAACAAGTGTTGGCAAGGATGTGGAGAAAAGGGAACCCTTATACACTGTTGCTAGAATTGTAAACTGGTGCAGCCTCTAGGGAAAATAGGCTGGAAATTCCTCAAAAAATTAATAATGGAGGCCGGCCCCACGGGCCAGTGGTTGGGTTCGCACGCTCTGGTTCAGTGGCCCAGGGTTTCACTGGTTCGGATCCTGGACACAGTCATGGCATCACTCATCAAGCCATACTGAGGCGGCATCCCACATGCCACAACTAGAAGGACCCACAACTAAATATATACAACTAAGTACCAGGGGGCTTTGGAGAGAAAAAGGAAAAATAAAATCTTTAAAAATAAATAAATAAAAAATGGACCTTGAGGGTGAAACAAGTCAAAAAGAGAAAGACAGACAAATTCCATACGATTTCACTCATATGTGGAATTTAAACAAAACAAAAACAAATTCATAGATACAGAGATCATGGTTACCAGAGGGGAAGGGTTCGGGGGGGTGGGTGAAGGGAGTCAGGTGTATGGTGATGGATGGTAACTAGACTTTTGGGGGGTGATCACCTTGCAGTGTATACAGATGTCAAATTATAATGTTGTACACCTGAAACACACAAAAGTAAAAAGAATACGTTTGGTCTTTGCCCCTGGTTCCTGATATAGGGCTTCAAAAATCCGTGGAATTTTCTGAGTTGCAGGAATGTCTTTGTTACACTACTGAGATGACCCACGGTTGGCCCCAAGCTATCTTCAGGATGAGGCTGGTTACCAGAAAGACCAACCACGTGATTAGAGGGTTGGAACGCGGAGCCAGACCTCTGGGGAGGGGAGGTGGGCTGGAGACTGAGTTTATGACATGGCTAATGGCTCAATCAATCATGGCTACATAATGAAACTCCAAGAAAAACTCTAAGCTCCAGGGAGCTTCCTGGTTGATGAACACAATGAAGGGCCAAGAGGGTGATGCGCCCTGACTCCATGGGGAGAGGGCATGGAAGCTCCGCACCCACTCCCTGACCCAGCCCTATGTGTATCCTTTTAACTGTAGTTTTCAATATAGTGCTTTCCTGCATTCTATTAGTTATTCTGGTGAATACTGAATCTGAGGGAGTCATGGGAATCCCCAAATTTGTAGCAAGCTGGTCAGAAGTGCAGGTGACCTGGAGACACCACGTGTGGCTGGTATCTGAAGCGGGGGCAGTCTTGTAGAGGACTGATCCTTCACTTGCAAGATCTGACACTAACTCCAGGTGGTTAGTGCCAGAACTGAATTACCATCTCCTCAGCTGATGTTAGACCGGTTGGGGTGGAAACAGAACAGTTACTAAGATATGAAGTGCTACAGCCAGGACTCAAAGTATAAACCATTAACAACTTTCAGTTTTTCATTTTAAAATGAAATGGTATATAATTCATGAACGTTTTAGTTTCCATAGTAACTTACGACAAATGAAAAACGACATCAGCTTGACAACTGCGAAATCCACTTAAAGCAATCAAAGGACCCTACCATTGCTGGCAGACATAGTTCACATAAATGTTGACGCAGGAGCAGCTATGCTAGAGTGGCTCATATGGATGGCAAAGCATTAAACAACATGAAGAGAATTTAGGATCCCAAGTAAACGCCATCTTCAGCGCTTTTGAAGTTTTCAGCCTTTTTCTGAATCCCTCACAGAGTGCCGAAGCTTGTAAACAATTTTAAATAACAGTTAAGCGCAGGTATAGGGAAATGCTTCCAGTATAAATCCTTAAAAACTTATCTTCAACCTCCAGACACAGTGAAAACAGTCTGGTTCTTGTTTCCTATAATCTTGAGAGAAATCATAGGACCTAAATTCTGATATTACTTTTGTGGTCAAAAGTGTACAAGGCAAGTGTTCTCTGCCAACAAGACGACTTCCTGAGCACCAACACAGAACAACATCTCATGGAATCCAGGCAGCAACACTAAGTTTTTTATTATCGCTCACATAAAAGCTTTCTAAGGTTTTATTTCAACTTATGAACCACAAAGGGATTACCCAAACTTAATCTTCCTTTACTAGGATGTATATAAATTATATTACTTTTAAATGCTGAAAGTTTTTAAGACTCATGTGATTCATACTCTTCTTTCTTACCTGGCCTGTTAGTGGCTGCCATAATAAAAACCTGCTGACGTGTTTCTAGACCATCCATCTCTGTAAGCAGCTGATTCACCACCCGGACACTTGCCCCCGTCTAAAAAGAAATTAATACAGCACCATCAGCTCCCAATAAAAAGAAAAACACATCACTGATTTTCTTTTCCATACAAAATAATACATTTGCGAACTTGAATGAAAGCTCTTGTCAAAAGGGATAACGATGATCATTTTCTGAGGAGTCACTATATCCAGGCACGGCGTGCTTCCCCAGGAATCCTGTTATGACCCACAGTTTAGAAGAGGAAACTGAAGCTTAGAGAGGTTAAGTGATTTGTCCAAGGCCTCACAGCAAGATAGGGTAGACATGACACTCAATCTCAGGCCCAGCGGATTCCTAACTCTTATACCTCCGAGTTATTCAAAGATCTAACAGACACAATAAATTCCCCTTTGGGTGAATCTAGACTCGACTTTTAAATGTCAGATCAGACACCCCAGGACATCAGACGTTCCAGATCTTTCAACTTGGATGCCTCTTCTCTTTTCCTTGAAGCATATAGTATGAAGTATAGCTACCCCAGGGCAACACCCAAGAGAAAGGTTCAGGGAGGTTGGGGAATAGAGAGAGAAATTACTTGGAGACAGAAATTTTTAAAATGCATAATGGAGGAAATGAGAAAAGTGGTGCTATGTTTCTTTTTGTCATTAACTGCCATTCTTCAACATAAATTTTATGTGGTAATGAGTTTAACTGCTGATTTCTCCAGAAAAAAATTTGGTGCACCTTATTATCATTTCCTGGAGACATAACAGTAATAGAAGATTAAGAGAATTATAATCCAGACTCAACAAAATAAAGAAGTATTGGGTAAAAAAAAAACCCCAAACATTGTCCTACCTAAGCAAGACAAAAACCTCAGAATCAGTATAGGAAAAGGTTGATAGATTTTATTACAATTCTAACACTGCATATAATTAAAAAAAATTAAAGACGGGGATAAGATTGGGAAAAATAGTAGCCTAACATATAACTAGACAATGGACTAATTTCCATCACACATAAAAAGCTCCTATAAATCAATTTAAAAAAAAGAAAAAACACTTTAATAGCAAAAGGGTCAAAGCATATGATCAGGCAATTCATAGAAGATGAAACACAAATTCACTGAAAACCATCAACTTCACTGACAATCAGGACATGAATACTAAAATTTAATATCATGTTTTGCCAATAAAATTGAGAAAAATAAAAATATGGGGATTATCTATTGTTGACAAGGGTGCAGGACATGGTTATTTACACACTGTTGGTGTGAGTACCTGGTAGTTTTTGTGAAGGATGATTTAGTATTATCTTTCAAAATACAACAGGTGTACATCTATCCTGAAATTATACTTCTAAAACCCTCACATGCTCCCCACATTTGCACAAAAAAACGGGATAAGAATGTTTACTACAGTTCTGTTTGTAGGAGAAACAGCTGGAAATGATGTAAATGTGTAAAACCGGGGAATTATCACACAAATTCTTCTGTAGCCAGACTGTGGAATATTTACGCAATAGTTAAAAAAATAAAGTTAAGGACGTGGGAAAATCATCAAGACAAAATGACAACATTTATGTAACCAAAAAGCCTAGGCCATATATGTTTTTAAGCCTATGGAAAATGTTCTAAAATGACCAACAGTAAACACTGAACAGTTAGCAGCAGGAACCTCCAAGAAGAGTAATAAGGAGAATAGGAAGAAAGACTTCCACTCTCTTCATACTTGTATTTATTTGAATTTTTCAGAAGTATGTGTTCACGTTTAACTTGTATAATGAGAAACAGAATACATTCTAATTGAAAATATTTCCAGAATGCCCTTCAGTGCGCACACCATCAGAATACAGAAATGTGTGGTAGCAGATATCCAAGCGAGAGAACCTGGAAGTTAGAAACGCAGTTCTCAAGGCCGCACACTCCTCCGAGGGCCAGCAGTGGACGGGCCCTCCCTCGAAGAACCCTTCCCAACTTACATCACCAGCTGGTAAAGAGAGCTGCTGCCAGCCTGGGAAAGGGGCTGTCGACACATGAAGGGTCTATTCACGGCAAAAGAGAAGGGAATAAAAAGGAGTAACGCAGAGCATCCCACGCCCCAACAAGCTGGATACAAAGGGAGGGTTTCGCTCTGGAGCCCACACTGGATTCTGGAATATGACAGGGGAACCTGGGAAGGATCTTTGCCCTGGCCACGACATCACTATCAGAGACAAGACTGTAACAGGGACCTTCTTGATGACTACTGGAAGAGGAAACAATTGCTACAATGTGAATCACACTTCTATTAGTCAGGATTTGTTTTTGTAACTTTTGCATGTTTCTGGAGATTTCAAGTGAAATGAGGCATTTAATAAATGTCTTACAACCTGAAAGCACACACTCAGAATAAATATTTCAAAATAAATCACAAAGGAAACATAATCACTTCTTAGTCATCTTGTAATAAATGTACTTATTAAATAATAGTCTTTGCTGTCTGCTTCAAAAAGGTTATACATTCTTTATAGCATTACGTGTCGCTATGCTTCCAACTCTTACATAACAGCACTCCTGATAACAACTTTCTGGGCAGTGGCTGTACTCAAATTTCCAAGAACTGTGCACAGTGTAGCAATGCAAGTGGTATTCAATGCAGACCAATTATGTATCTTCCCCAGGTGGTAATGGTGCTGAGTCTTAAAGTAGATTACCTGAGCCTATTTTGAGTGCATTATGTCTTAAATTACATTTTCTCCTGTCTCAAGAACCCGTTCAACTGAAGAGAAGCATAAGATTACAAGGTAGGCTATTCAAAACTATCATTTCCATTCTTAACTCCTCATTTGCGTGAATCAGATATGTGCAACCAAAATAATACACAGAAGAAAAAACAGGTACAGAGGCTAACAAAAATACAACAGTCATCCCCAAGCCCTTATTTCAAATTACTAGGTTTCTTCACTTAAAGAGTCTCAGTGTTTGCAAGGAATGACTTCATAAGAACCACCTGAACTTTATACAACTTCATAAGAACTTACAAAAGGTTTACGGTGCTTAAAAAAATCCCTAAATCACTAACCTATGACACTTACCTCTCGGTCTGATCTTCGGGGGCATAAGGCGTCCACTTCATCAAAGAAGATCACACAGGGCGCTGAGTTCTTGGCTCGCTGAAACACCTGTCGCACCGCACGCTCACTCTCACCAACGTACTAAACATACACAGAAAGGAAACAAAACGCAGAGACAGCGCAGCTTTGGGTGCGGGCCAAATTATAGCAAAACTAGTTTTAAATGACATTTATATGTCAGAGTCCAAAAAGTATTAGGTTGAACCATATACAACTGCTGATACTTAACCATTTTTGACCTATGAAAACAGCCCACTGTATGTGGTTCAACTTAAAAAAATTGGTTACTATTTAAGTTTATAAATTTCCTCATTTATGACATGAAGACTTAAATGGAATGTAAGGTCTTCTCTAGGTCAAACTCTATTGTATTTTAGAATTGATTTCCTGAGCTTTATGCATATAAAATACCCAGCAGTTATTCTCATTAATTCAACAGTAATTTTAAATGCAAACAAGACAATTTACTATTCTACTGTCATTTCTACACATGTCATCTTGCTAAAGGAAGAGCTATTTTGTCATATATCACCAGAAGAGGCAAACTGAGCCAGCCAGGGCTCTAATAGGTTTCATAATGGCATACTGTACATCAAAATCGAAATCAAAACATAAAACATTAAGACCAGTCAAGAAATACAGCAACTCACAAGCAGCTATAACATTTAGAGCTATTTAATCTAAGAAGTTATATGTAAAAATACAGTTTCACTTTTACCTGGGCCCAAGAGAAACTGTTCCTGTAAAATTTCAAACTAGTTAACTATGAAAAGCAGGTTTTTCGTAATAAAACTGCTAAATAAGACAGAATCTGAAAGCATCTTAAGAGTGCCGATTAGATCATAAGATACCTCTTATGTTACTTTATGACTACATGGCCAGAATAAAGTAATTAAGGCATAGAATACATCACAGATGACAGTGACAGCAGCATTTTTATTTCTCATTTGGAGAGAACCTTCTTTCCCTCACACCTGTCCTGTACTTCAGCTCATTCTGCTTTCCTTACTGGAAACTGCTTTTCAAACCTCCCTCCAAACAGCTGTCCTTGCATTCTAATAGATCCCCAATCACCTTTCTTCCCAGCACTCTCTCTTATTTGCTCTTACAAGCGCTTTCTACTATTATAATGTTTGAGGTGCTGTCACTATATTATACCATAAAGTCTCTGGAAAGCCTAAGTCATGAGAGTTTCAAATTTTTCTTTGCTCATAACATCCTGCATAGTGTACAGATATATAGTAGACCGATCTAGTTTCCTGAAAAATCTAATTCAGCAAAAATTATATTTGGGATGCTGAACCAAAATACTCAGTGGATATTTTGGAAGAAAAGATCTCAGTGGGTTGGGAGAGAGAAAGTTTCAAACAGGGAGGGAAGAAAACGATCACTCTAGCTGGCAAAGGGACTTTGGATATAGCAAACCAAAATGACTACATGAAAGGAAATTTGATGTAGGAGGAGGTAAACCTCAAGTGTCAAAAGGCTAGATTAAAATCAATTCATCTTAACCAAGTCAACAATGATTGAAAATAAGCAAACAAGAAAATCCAACTATCTTGGCCTTTAAGAAATATTTCAAATAAGGATCCTATACTTCTTTCTAATTCCTCACTCACTACGCAGTTTTCAACCATTATGATCTGGGTTTTGCAAGGAATAACTGAAAGCACTCTCCTTGAAGTCACTAATGACCTTCTGATCACGAAATCCAAAGTCCCAGTTTCAGTTTCTTTTATGCTGTTTGGTTACGTTGACAGGGCTGACAAAATTATCTTCCCCTGGTCTTCAGGCTTAGAAAGTCCTGGGCACCCTCCACCTTTGGACCAGTCTCCTTTGCCAGCGTTTCCTTCCTTGCTCTTTAATTGCTGGAGTCTTCCAAGGCTGCGTCAGAGGCTCACTTAATACACTCACCCAGGCAGGCCTGTCCCTTCCCGAGCTCTGGGCTGCCGTTTAGATGTTTAGATGACACTGACTCTCAAATCTCTTCCGAGCGCCAGACTCACATTTCTTACTGTCTGCTCCGTATCTCCCAACGGCTAAAACGTGCTGGAGCAAACTCATGTTCTAACCTCAAGATGTCTACCTTCCCTGTCAGATTACCTAATCTCTCAGGGTCATTCTCTTCCCACATCTACCCCTAGAAGACAAATCAGACCAGAATGAGACAACATTTCATACTCATCAGATTGGCAAAAACCTAACAATGGGAACTCTCCCTCACTGCTGGTGAAAGCATAATGCCATGACAACCACTTAGGGAAAAAGTTGGCAATACTTAATATTTTTGAAAGTACACATATTATGTAAGACACAGCAATGCTACTTCTGAGGGTATACCCTTGGGGGAAAATATCTCACAAATATGCATAAAGATATATTTGTGTATATATATGTTCAACCTAAACATCTATCAAGAAAAAATCTGATTTTTAAAAGTGTGGTTATATTCATTCAATGGAATACGACACAGAAAATTAATGAGCTAGAGGTAAACATATCAACAAAGATAAATATTATAAACATAATGCTGAAAAAATAACAATAAAACCAAGTTACCAAAAAACATTTAGGGCCAGCCCTGGTGGCTTAGTGGTTAAGTTTGGCGTGCTCTGCTTCAGCAACCTGGCTTCAGTATCCGGGAACGGACCTACACCATTTGTCAGTGGGCATGCTGTGGCAGTGGCCCACATACAAAATAGGGGAAGACTGGCAACAGATGTTAGCTCAGGGCAAATCTTCCTCAGGAAAAAAAAAAATCATGTATCATCTATATAAAGTAGGGTTTTTTGGTTATGTTTCATTGTATATAAAAAGAGTTCCAAACATATAACAAAAGTAGACATAATAGTATACTGAACCCCAAATATACCCATCACCCAGCCTCAATTATCATTGACTCAATTCATGACCCACCTTTGCTTCATCTTTACCCCATCCACTTCTCTTTCTCTTTGTTATTTTGAAGGAAAGCCCAGACATTATATTTTATTTGTAAATATTTCACTACCTCTAAAAGACAATGACTTTAACACAACTACAATATTATCACACTTAAAAGTTATTTTCTTAATATCAAATATCCACTAAGTGTTCAAATTTCCAACTGTCTCATAAACATTTTTGAAATAAGCAAAATACTACTATATGTTGTTTAGGGATAAACACATAGATAGTAAATATAGAAAGAAGTACACAGAATTAATAAACACCACATTCAGGATTACGGCAAACTCTATGTGAGAGAGAATGGGGACTCTGGTTAGGGAAGGGTGCAGGGGCTTCAGGTACATTAGTTTTGGGTTTTTTTAAAAGCTGGGTGAGACATATACTCATTCATTATATTACTTTGTATAACTTATATGCTTGAGATATTTCATAATAAAATTTTTAAAAATATTACATTCTTAAAAAAATGTTAGACTCTTGCTTTAACGCCTCTGTTAGCTCTCTGATATTCTGAAGGTAACATCCAGTTCTAGCCTCGTATGAAGGCCCTTCACTGTCTGGCTGTAGCTTTCTTTTCCAGCCTCATCCCTCACCAGTCCCCACCCTTTCAAGGCTCATTTCTAATTCCCCCTCCACTAAAGAACCAAAATTCAGTGCCAGAAAAAGTAAAGAGGTGCACAGAAAGCTCACAGGAAATACTTAAGTATAAATCCTTATTTTAGGAGGAAAGTAATATACAAAAAATGGGAGAGCAGATACATTTTAAAAGCTTTTTAAAACAAATGATACTGCTTTCATTTCTTCTCTTTCTATATTACAGAATGGCATTTTTACTTTCCATAGGGATGGACAGGAAATAAGAAATGCAAACTCTCTTACATTTGAGGTAGAAACTGCTTAAATGCAGAAAGAAGTTGCTATATAGTACTTTAGGGATTTCTTTGCCCCACAGTATTTTTATTTATTAATACTTAACTCAGGTGAGCTACACAACAACTGGACAAGGAAAGCAGATCAGGTGTCAGACAACCCACATTCAAACCCCAGCTCCACTAGCTCCCAGCTGCCAGACTCTGGCCAGGCTACACACCCCTCCAAACTGAAGTGTCCCCATCTGTGAACGAGAGGAAACCGTAACTCATATCTCGCAGGCTGGTGAAGAACAGTATGTGGAAACTGCTAGACAAACACATGGCAGAGATTAAACACTGTAAAATATTAACTATTTTGATTATTTCCATTTTGCAGGTGAGAAAACTGAGGTTCAGAGATTGAAAGACTTATTAAGGAAGCATTAACACACACCAAGTGGTCCAGCAGCCCAGAGGTCAACCTGTTCACTCCGACAGCAGTGATCTGACCAAAATCACCACCGCTGTTTCAAAGACCTAAGGACAGTGTGCCCTGTAATTTGAATGACCGTTACTTTTCCTAATCTAAAACAATGGTAAATGACACAACTTACCATATTTAGTAATTCAGGGCCCTTGACTGATATAAAATTTAGTCCAGACTCATTTGCAACAGCCTAGTAAGAGGAAACAAAAAGATACAAATAAGACAAAGATACAATGAAGTAATAGTAATAACAATAATTTGTGACAACACAAGGGCTTTTTGTGGTTTATACTCTATTTCCCCCTTTTATAGTTGCCTCTTTCTTATCAGGAGAAGAGACAAATGGGAAAAGGAGAAATGGACTGGAAAAAAAAAATCAAAGGAAGTAAACGTTAACCTAAAACTTTCTAAGAATACTCAGACTAGAAAGCAGATGCAAAGAGCACAAAACATTTGTGTAAATGTTCTGTTTACACAAACATGCTTATGCAGGTACATTTGTAGCCCTAGCCTGGAATTCTACTGAAATCATCTGTATCAAAAATGCTTTGCCCAGTGAAAGCAATCACTCATTCATAAACCAAAATTCAAAAACGTCAGTATCAGTCTTTACCAAAGGTTGGTATTTACGGATTATTTTTAATAAATAAAGATTAAACAGTATGGTTCAAAGCCAAAGAGAATAACATAGGAGAAACATGGTTACACGTGTAGAAGAATCCAAGAATTGTAATCTAAACAGAGATGAAACCTGAATAAAAATCACTAAGGGGGACCAGCCCTGTGGCCGAGTGGTTAAGTTCACGTGTTCGGTTTCAGTGGCCCAGGGTTTCGCTGGTTTGGATCCCAGGCACAGACATGGCACCGCTCATCAGGCCATGTTGAGGCAGTGTCCCACACAGCACACCCAGAGGGATCTGCAACTAGAATATACAACTATGTACTGCGGGGGCTTTGGGGAGAAGAAGAAGAAGAAAAAAAAGAAGATTGGCAATGATGTTAGCTCAGGCGCCAATCTAAAAAAAAATCACCCAGAACTTCAAAATGATCAGGGAATAGAGTTTTTTCCTATTCTAATTAGAATCTGATCTCTGACCTCCAGAACTATATTCAACGTAACTCCTCAGCATCTCCATTTCGATCTTACAGGTATTTTAAACCTATCACTTCCAATGCAGGACTCCTGATTCTCTCCCAACTCCTTGCAAACCCCACACCCCAAACTCCGACAGTTGCTAGGGTAAAACCCTGGTGTCTCCCTTGGTCCCTTGTCCTGTCGCGTCATCCAGTCCATCTGCAAGTCCCATCAGCTCTAATGCTAAAATACACGTGAGTCTGCCACTCTCTACTTCTCCACTATACCGCCACCCTCACCCAGAGCACCACCATCTCCTGGCTGCACATGCAAAAAACCAAACCAAACCCAAACCAAAAAACCCTAAGTGGTCTCCTCCTTTCGCTCTCTTTCCTCCAACCCATTCTCCACGCAGCAGGCAGAGCACTCTTTTAATAACATCAATCGGATTATATCTTTTTACTAGGTTTCTCATTTATCTTCGAGGACAATCTGAAATATTTACTATGGCTCACAGGCCGGTATTTTGGGACAAGACAGCTTCTCCTTAGTCCAGCCACAGGCTCTGTCTCTGGTTCTCAAACTCACCAAGCCCTTTCCCACTTCAGGGAATTCTGCATCTGCTGTTCCCTCTGTCTGGAAGATTCTCCTCCTGCCTCTTTGTGTGCTGGCTGGTCCTTCAGGACTCTGTTAATATCACCATCCCTTGAACACCACAGCTAAAACAGCCGCCTCCTGATCAGTCTATCACAATGGTCTGCTTATTTCCATCGTAACGTAGCTGGATCTGCAATTTTATTGTTTTACGTGTCTACTGCCTGCGTCTTCCAAGAGACAGTAAATTCCATCAGAGCAGGCATCTTGTTCACTAGTTTACCCCTAGCACCTTAGACAACTTCTGGCAAAGAAAAAGTAGCTTGGTAAATACTTGTTGGACAAATGAATACACGCATGCTCTGCCATGGAAACACTGCTCAAAATGTGGATCATCCACATTCTCTCAATCTGTCCTTCCTGCCGCCAATTTCATAACTTTCCTACCTCTCACTAAAGGAGAGTCAGGATACACATCTAACAAAATATGAGCTATCCACATTAGGTTTCAACATCCATATGCCAGATAACTAAAATTTATCCCATTAAAACCCCTGAGAGTTTCTGAAATTGTCGGAAGTCTTGTCTTCTAAATGAAATACGATGATCATAATTTAATTTTTTCTTGGATATCACCAATATCACCATGAATCTTGTACTCAGTATTAAGAGCTGTTTGCTTCCATACTACATAGTTCCAGAACACTAAACAATTTTTACTATACTTTTCAGTTTCCTTATTAGTCATCAGTTTTCAGTGTGATGACTCCAGCCATTACATGCTCTCACTTTATGCTCTTTACATACTACGTGCCAGTGTTTAGAAAAACTGTATTACTTTATTGCTATCACGAGTAAACAAAACAACCAAGATCAGCCAAAATCTTAATTTTAATCCAATTCTACGTTGCCAGGTTCTGATTGATATGTAGTTCCATGACTTTCCCTCAGTAACACTTTGCTTCTACTATTCAAGGACATTTTCTATTATTTCTGGCTTCTTGGGCCTGTAGTCACATACCTCGGAGAATCTGATGAAAGTGATGAACTTTCTCCTTGGAAAAAATACATATACAGTCACATGCCACATAATGATGTTCCGTCAACAACTCACCGCATATACGACCAGTGGTCCCATAAGATCAGTACCGTACAGCCTAGGTGTGTAGTAGGCTGTACCTTCTAGGTTCGTGCAAGTACATTCTAAGATGTTCGCACGACAAAATTGCCTAACGACACATTTCTCAGAACATATAAGTACATTCTACGATGTTCGCACGACAAAATTGCCTAACGACACATTTCTCAGAACATATCCCTGTTTGTAAGTGACACGCAACTGTACACATAATATACTGCCTGGGCTCGTGGATCCAGTGAGCTGGGAAGCCATCCATGGAGTCCCAGGCAAGACCCCTGCGCCAACTGTCAGACACCAGAAATCTGACTGAACAGAGAGGTACCAAATTGTTCGCAATTTGCAATGGGGAGAGAAGAGGAAAAATTTTATCTATGATGTTTTAACATTATCTACGGATTTCAAATTATCCAAGCTATCTCCTCTCTGCTGTGACCAGGACTAATCAAAGGCAGATGAACTAATTAAAAAACAAACGTTATGAGACACTCAGGTGAGGGAAGTGCATCCACCTGGTGAATCCAGACGCTAGCAGGCAGGACCTTCTTTCTGAGTATGTTTTTCTAAAACTGCTAGGAAAAAACGTAGACCCATGACTGTGGTGTTTTCCTCTCCCTCCTGTGTTCCCAAATTCCTTTACAGCATACCTTGTAGGAGTACTGGAAGCACTAAGTAAGGAAATTTAGTAATATATGTAAAAATGAGTTTTACAAAATTTGTCTATATATTATATATACACATATATGTATGTATATGCACATGAACGAATGACACTGGATATTTTATATTTACCAAGGAGTCACACACTATTTGGCTGCTGTGGTACTTATTAAAAATACCATTAGGTTTAATTTCTTATTTACAAGTAAATCAAATATTTTTAAAAGCTTGTAAGCATTAAGTAAATTATGCATGGACTATTATACAGACATTAAAAATGATGGTTAATTCAACTTATCAAAAGGGAAGATAGTTCTAATAAGCAGAACTCCAAAGGGGGGAAAATCATAAAAAGACTGGGAAATTTGCCCACTTAAATATGTAAAAAACACAAAAAAGTGTGCCAAAAATATGATCAATAAAGTTAAAATGGCTAAAATAAACTGATAAACATATTTACAAATAAAACATCTTTTTTTTTTTTTTAAGATTGGCACCTGAGCTAACAAGTGTTGCCAATCTTCTCTCTTTTTCTTCTTCTTCTTCTCCCCAAAGCCCCCCAGTACATAGTTGTATATTCTAGTTGTGAGTGCCTCTGGTTGTTCTAGGTGGGACGCTGCCTCAGCGTGGCCTGATGAGCAATGCCATGTCTGTGCTCAGGATCCAAACCGGCAAAACCCTGAGCTGCTGAAGCAGAGTGCACGAACTTAACCACTTGGCCACGGAGCCAGCCCCCAAATAAAACATCTTAAGAGTGATTATAAATAAGAAAGAAAACCACATGAATGTTAACAAAAAAACAGGCAAAGGATATGAACAAATCCATAAAGAAAACTAGTCAATAAACATATATGAAAAAGTCCACTAGTAATTTTTAAAATGCAACTTAGGGGCGGCCCAGGGTTTCACTGGTTTGAATCATGGGTGTGGACAGGGCACCACTCGTCAGGCCATGCTGAGGCAGCATCCCACATGCCACAACTGGAAGGACTGACAACTAAAAATACACAACTATGTAGCAGGGGGCTTTGGGAGAAAAAGGAAAAATAAAATCTTTAAAAAAAAAAAAGAAAAAATGCAACTTAAAAACCATAAGATACCATTTGTACCTATTAGATTGTCAAATATTAAAAACAATGTTAATAAGGCTATTGCTAATTTCCAATGTAGTGAAATGGATACTGACACCCTATTGATAGGGGTGAAAATCTGTGGAAGGCACTTTGGTAATGGATCAAATGTAATCTGGTAATGGATCATTTTGATCAAATGGTAATGGATCAAGAGCTTTTTAAAACATGCACTCCTTTTATCGAAAAAGTATTCAGGAATGCATTCTAATAAAATTATCAGCTGAATTACAAAAATGTAAGTACAGGATTGTTTAATGCAATGCTGTTTTGGGGGGTTTTTTAGGGGTTTTTTTGGTGAGGAAGATCGGCCCCGAGCTAACATCTGTGCCAATCCTCCTTTATTTTGTATGTGAGATGCAGCCACAGCATAGCTTGATGAGCAGTGTGTAGGTCCGCACCTGGGATCGGAACCTGTGAACTCCAGGCTGCCAAAGCAGAGCAGGCACACTTCACCACTACGCCCCCGTGCTGGCCTGCAGTACTGCTCTAATAGGGAGTCATTTCCATAAGTTACAGAACATCTTTATGCTAGAATGCTATGCAGACATTAAAAATACTGATGTGTATTTACATATACCGACACGGGAAGATGTTCAAGAAATATTGCTAAGTGTTGAAAAACCTCATATTTGCATAAATGTGTGTAAAAGTCATACATATTATCTTGATATGTAAGTACAGAAGAACATCTGGAAGGAGTGACAACAAAATGAAACAGTGGGTAGCAGTAGGCAGTAGTGAGGGGATTATAAATACTGCTTTTCCCTTTTGCTTATCTATATTTTCTATTGTGAAAAAACAATTTTTTTAAAATAAGAATTTTAAGGAACACAGAGGAAAATACTTAAGTTATAAATAACATCTAAACCAAAGCAGGAAACAAGATCAGCTACAAACCTCAACTATGCAATAACACTCACTAAAAAGCCAGGTTATAATACACAGAAAACATAATAATTGCTGTGTTAAAACTGATGGGGTTACGGTTGACTTAAAAACCCTTTTCTTTTCCAAATTTCCAATGATGTACTTTTTGTAATTAAAATAAAAGTGGGAAACTTTCCTAAAGAAAACTGTCAGTGTTGCTAAAATGAACTTCAAATAGATATTGCACAATATCTCACTGTAACCTTTAAAGTTAAATTCATGTTCTCCTATCTGATAGTAAGAAATAAAATACCGGCAGTTGAACTTATACCATACCTTTGCCAGCAGAGTTTTCCCACAGCCAGGAGGACCAGCAAGGAGGACTCCAGCTGGAGTCACCAATCCAAGAGCTTTGAACTGATCTGGGTTACGTACTGGCGCCTGGAACAAATGATCCCAACAGCGGTCCATTACAGATGTCTACTTCCTACAGCACATTCTAATTACCTCCAGATGTGTATTTTCAACACAGATTCTGACGCCCAAAGATAAGAACAGTGCCTGGTGCAGAGTGCTTACCTCTGTTCCACGCATGAAGTATATGGTAACAAATTCTAAAATCCCTGTGCTAAATGTCCAGCTTATAAAAATGTTAGCAATGCCCTCCAGAAGCAGCGGAGGTCTACACAGGCCAAAGCCAGAGACACCTGTTCACTGTGATCCCCGTGTGTTTTCTCTTTCAGCAGTCACACGCCTCTAAACGGATCGTACTTCACTAACAAACCATGGAATGATGAGTAAGGGGGAAAAGTAAGACTAAATGAAAATTAACCCAAAGTCTCATGGGCATTAAAACTGCCTTGACCCTTACGAGTGTGACTGAGTTCAGAAAGTATTTCTCAAACAACTTGGTCTTGGTGAAACCCAAACTTTTTTTTTTTAAACTCACAGAATCAAGCACAACCAAAAGAGTAAGTCTAAAACAGATCTCAAAAGAATGAAAAGCCATTGTTGGGGCTTAATAATGAAACAACAGAACATAGAAAAGAAAACAGTCAAGCCCATTTACACACAGACCTAGGACACAAGCGTGGTCGTTTACCCACCACGTATGCCAACGACATTCTGCAGCAGAGACACCTACCAATATTGCCATGGTGAGCTCCTCTCTAATATCCTCCAGGGCACCAATATCTGCCCACGTCACATTAGGCACAGTGACAAAGCCTTCCCTTTTGGCAGAGGGTTGCACAGAGGATAGAGCAACAATGAAATCATTCAGTTCAATGCACAGCCCTTGCAGCTGCTCCTCTGAGAGGGGATCTTGGTTTCTTAGCAACCCCAGTAGCCTTTGCAATTCATCCTTAAAGGGAGAAATTGAGGGAGAAAATGAAAAACCACAAAGTTTGTTGAAAAAGTTACTTTTTATACTTTCAAAAATTATTACTACAATATTTCTGTAAGCCATAGTAAACTTCCATGTTTTAATAATTTTCTCCATTGACACAGTCATTTATTTGATTTGGTCAAGGAAAGGTACCCCGCGTATAAGCAAGCACAGGAGAATGATTTCCGTATGCTATACTAGGGGTAGCTAGGGCAAACACAAGCAGTTCGCAAACATCCATTTCAACAACCATGTATTTCCATTTTTCATTTATAGATGTTCAAGCAGCAGCTGAATTTTGATGAAATTAAAACAAAATTACCCTGGCAGTCTGATTTCATAATATGGTTCCTTGGTGGTTTATGAGCTAAATAGAAAGCAGGCAATTTTCCTAGGACTACTGAAATCTGGAACTTGACAGGCAGATTTCTCGATTTGTGAAGAATATGAGAGGACAGGTGTAAAAAGCAACTCTAATTCAATTTATAAAATCCTAATTTACATGCAATATTACGGAAGGAATTTGTTCACTATTACTTTTAACAGATCTAATTGTGCTTCCAGATGAGTAAGGAAGAAACAAAAGATTTGAAAACAAAAGAGCTAGGTCTAAGCCCCTGCTCTAGACAGGTGAGGCCACGTGGCCTCGCGCAAGTCACAATCTCTTACAGTTTAGTTTCTCTGATTATAAAATGGGGAAAGTAATGATATTTACTTGACAAAGTTAAATAGACCAAATTATATTATAGAAGCTCCCTGTGCAAACTATAAAATGCTACATAAATGTTATATTGAGTTTTCATTGTTATATTGCATTTATTCAGAATCAACTAAAAAAGTCAAACTATACTTCTGAAATTATAGACATTCTGGGTACAACCAATAATTATTCTAAAGGTAAAATGCCAATAGAACAGAAAATCATAAACCTCAACTACCTCAATACTTGCTTGTAGGATAACACAAAGTAAAAACCCTTAAAGGACAGTGTAAGGCCCCGCACAGAAAGCACCTGTGTTTCGGAAGTGGGCTCAGTTCCAGCCCTCTCTTCCCGGCCTCCTTCAGACGGCAAACCTTCAGTCTCGGGATCTTTCTTCTGCTGCTCCTGGAGCTTCATTAAGACCCTGTGGACTGCACACATGGCTGCCTCTCGGCAGAGCGCCATCAGATCAGCGCCGACAAAGCCCGGCGTCAGGTGTGCTAAGTGGCGAAAATGAAAAGTGTCGGGAAGTCGTAGTTTTCTGCACAAAGTCTGAAGTATTCTGTAGAAAAGACAGGGAAAAAAATTCAGATTCCTAACCTACCAGTAAAAACAAGTCACCGACAATATTTATTTGAAGTCCTTCCTCTCTGTCAATGGTATTTTAACGGGTGCAATATAAGAGCAAATCATTCATTCATTCAACACATGCTAAATCGCTGTTACATGACTCACTTTATTCCATTAAAGATTAAGGTATAACATCTGCTTTGTTAATGCTGTGAAGAACAAAAAATAGATTTTAAAACATATTCTGCCTTTAAGAATTTTACAATATCACAGAGGAAATAAATGATTTATGAGGATATAAGGTAAGTTCTACTTTTAGTGTAGATTTAATGGACATCTAACAGAAATAAAAGCCTCCAAACTCAAATAAACCACTAATTCTATTCATCACAACCAATTAATGGAGATGCACACTTCAGCATTCAATTTTACATCAGGGCAGTTACTTCTCCAACTTCATCTTTACCTATCGTTCATCCCTGTACTGCATGTGTGAAAACTTTTGCTCAGTTTAACCAGCAACATGGTATATGTAAATGAAATGTGGACTTCTGGATAAGTATTACTAACGGAATACCTTAATTTCTGGTAGGACCTACTGAGTAAAACTTAAAAGCCGCAGAGATACTCAGGACGGAAGGTGTGAAGCTACACCGCTTGCGTTTGACAGCAGCTCCCCCACCCTCTGAGTAACCTGGGCCGGCCGCTTCACTGCTCAGCTTGTTTCCTCATTGGTTAAATATATTTTATAGTAGCACTTCCCCAAGGGGACGCTGTTGTAAATGAACATATGCAAAGCCCTTAGAACAGTGACTGACCCACAGTAAGTACCCAATAAATGTTAGTTATTATTATTCACATTTTGTGATATTAATTAACTTGGATAAGGAAATGTATTTTGAAATTTCCAAATGTGTAGGGGAGACTAACATTTCAAATGTCAAGCCGATGGAGAAGTCATAGAAAAGTCACTGGGATCATGTAAGTGAACAGAATAGAAGCAGATAAACGTTACTGACAAATGAAAACTCAGAGACTCTAAACAACAGGAACCAAGAAACGTTCCATTACAGAACTGGTTCCTAAAGATACAGACCCCATTTGCTGCTATGCAGAAGAATCTAAGAGATTTAAAATCTCATGAAAAATAGCTAACATAAAACAATTATCATCCTTTCCTCAGTTACAGTCTATTCTGGAAAAAACGCGGATATTTCCACTCATCATACTACAGAAACTCCAAAGGAGGAGAAAATAATGATTAAGAGATTTTCAGTTTCACGAGGTGGAGTAAAAGGTTTTCAGCAATGCTTCCTCTGCCCGAAGAAAACAAAAACAAGAAACAGAAGCACACACTCCGTGGTCTAAGCGACTAGGAGACTATCTGTACTCTCCCCAACACCCCTCCTCCAGCCTGCTCTGGAAGTTCTGCAGAGAATTGGCAACAGAGGATCAGCATTTATTTTTACGAGGCCTTTGAAAGCTATCAACAGTCGTCCTAGGCTAAAGGCGTCAGCGTGGCTCTACATAAAGAGAGGTATTGATGCTGACAAGAGAGACTGAAGCAAACAGGTATCTGCGGGCTTGCGATGGATGCATATTTTACTACCAAAGAAGAGAAAGGCCACTCAATATAGGTCTCTCTGTCAGCTCTAGCTGATGCCCTAAGGACTATAAATCCCCAGAAAGATTCAAGTATTACAGGGTTCCCAGAACAAATGATCTAGGTTTAATGATATATTTGACTATAAATAGGATGAGTTAACTAATTTTTTAAAAATAAACCTTTTAGGGGCTGGCCCTGTGGCATAGTGGTTGGGTTTGGCATGCTCCACTTCGGCAGCCTGGGTTCACAGGGTCAGATCCTAGGCACAGACCTACTCATCAGCTATGCTGTGGCAGCAACCCACATACAAAATAGAGCAAGACTGGCATGGATGTTAGATCAGGGCTAATCATCCTCAAGCAACAAAAGAGGCAGACTGGCAACAGACGTTAGCTCAGGGCTAATTTTCCTCACCAAAATAAACAAATTAATTAATTAAAAATTTTAAAAAACTACTTTAGAACACTTTTAGCTTTACAGAATTATTGCAAAGACAGTACAGAGTTCTATACACCCCACACCCTTCTCCTATTATGAAGGACAATTTTGAGGCTCATTGCCCCAATACTTTGTAGCATGTCCTTCCATTGGGATTAGTCTGATATTGTTACTATGATTAGGCTAGGATGTGTTTTCCAGAAGAGGACCACAGAGGTCAAGTGTCCTTCTCACCACATCACATCAGGGATGCCTACTATCAACACAACGCATCACTGTGGATGATCGCCAGGTCGGAGACAGTGGTGGAAAGGGTTTCCACCTGAAGTTACTATTCCCCTCCTTCCACTGCACTCTTCTGGAAGTCAGTCGCTACGCCCAGCTCTCATTTAAGGGTAGAGAGTTACAGGCCACCTCCTCAAGGGCAGTGCATCTACATAAATTATTTGGAATTCTTCTGCACCTATTCTCACCCATTTATTTATTTATTCAATCATTTATTTACATCAGTATTGACTAATAGGTATTTGACTCTCTGTAATTCTGAACCACAATTTATGAAGAAAGAAAGTGGATGGAGAATGGTAAAGGACCTAGCAGAGGGGAAGAAGTCAAAATTAACCTTGGGAGAAGGGGCACTGATGAGAAGGAAGTGCATTTGTCTGGTGGCATGCCACAGACCAGGAACTGGAGGCATCAAAGTGTCCCAGGACAGAAACCAGGGCCACAGCAGGGAGCCGAAAACAGAAATTATCTGAAAATCTGCCTAAGAAGTATTAAGACTCCACATATTCTCCACCCCCTGGACCAGCAGGATACCAGGAGCGTGCTCTCCGGTGAAACCGACCCAGCGGAGGGAAGCTCCAGGTTTGCGGACAATCTAAGATCAACTCCACCAGGAAAATGGGTGAAACTCTGTACAGTGCATGCAATTCCTCAGCTCATTCCCCCAGCCTAGGTCAGAAGACCAGCAGTTAGCCATAGAGCCCCATGGTGTCTGAAGATCTTTTTCTGAAAAATCTGAACTGACTCAATGAAAAGAATCTACAGAAATTGACATTTGGAGCTTTTTAGCTAAAAAGTTAGCTGGTCATCTGACTGCTTCATCATGGCACTCACAAAGGAGCCTGTACTGCAGCTGTCTAATCAGACTCTTTTTTTCTTTTTTGTGAGGAAGACTGGCCCCGCACTAACATCTGTTGCCAATCTTCTTTTTTTCCCTCCCCAAAGCCCCAGTACATAGCTGTATATCCTAGTTGTAGGTCATTCTAGTTCTTCTATGTGGGATACCGCCACAGTGTGACTTGATGAGCGGTGTACAGGCCTGTGCCCAGGATCCAAAGCAGCAAACCCTGGGCCGGCAAAGTGGAGCGCGCAAACTTACCTACTCAGCCATGAAGCCACACCCCGCAGCCTCACTCTTAAAACAGCAATGGACAGCCAAGGACTGCCATGTGAGGAGAGCTGCCAGCACGAAAGAACAGTAATAACAGCTCTCAATTACCGAGACTTACTCCAGACCAGGGACTGCTGTCCTGACTGTGCACATTACTTCTTGCTGCCTCTCACCGTGACAGAAGGCACTAGCACAGGCCAAAATAAACACATACACACACAGCAAAAAGGAAACTTGGAGGAAACAGGGATGTGGAAAAAATTGTGAGAGGGTTAGCAAATGAAAAAATATGGCAACCGCGAATTCCAGAAAAGTTAAAAAAGTGAAGAGAGGAAACACAAACATAACATTTCCCACTGACCTGGGAAAGCAGTGAATAATATTTATATAGAGGAGAAATGAGAATGCTAAATATGGATATATCAAAATTCATAATACAACTATATACTATAAACATATGAATATTGTTTGGATATTAGATATATTAAAGATTGTTGGCTATGTAATGGCATTGTATATATGTTAAATAAAGTCTTTCTCCATTAGATACTGAAGTACATAGTTGAAATGATACAATGCCTGAGATCTGCTTTACAATGCTCCAGGAAAAAAAAAGGGAAGGGTAAATAAAAGACGACTGTGAAAATGTTGATAATCGTTGAACCTGGGTGCTAAGACATGGGGCTCATTATTGTGACAGTTCTAAAGCACGTCTGTAAGTTCCTGACCCTCTTCCTAGTGAGAGGTGGGGTCTACGGCTTCTCTCCTTAAATCTGGGCTGTGACCGATCAAACACAGTATAGTGGAATTGATGCTACGTGGCTTCCAAGGATAGGTCTAAAGTGAGGCCACTTCAGCCTGTTCTCTGCAATCTTCAGGCAGCAGCCCCAGGCAGCCACGTAAGAATCCGACCACCTCCAGGCTGCCCGGCTCTGACGAAGCCCAAACTGTCCGTAAAGGGTGCCACATGCAGAGGCCTTTAGCTGGGAAGAGAAAGGAGGAAGGGGACAGACCAGATCAGATGACAGATATACAGAGACAGACAAGCTAGACGAGATGGACAGGCAGGGAGACAGGTAAGACAGCCCTGCTGCTCCAGGTCCCCGCAAGGTTCTGGCTCCAGCCACCATCTCCGCAGACACACGAGCCCCTGAGACAGCACCAACTAGCTGAGGCCTTTCTGGATTCTTCACACACAGAAACTGTGAGAGACAATATGACAACTGTTGTTGTAAGCCACGAAATTTTAGGGTGGTTTGCTTTGCAGCAATAGAAACTAGAACAATTATATTAGACTCCTTTTCTGTACATTGGAATTTTCCATAATAAATTGCTTTTAAGGATCAGAAAAATATCAAGAGCTACCTCAAAAAAAATGTTTTCGGGGGCTGGCCCCGTGGCCGAGTGGTTAGGTTCGCGCGCTCCGCTGCAGGCGGCCCAGTGTTTCGCTGGTTCGAATCCTGGGCGCGGACATGGCACTGCTCATCAAGCCACACTGAGGCGGAGTCCCACATGCCACAACTAGAAGGACCCACAACGAAGAGTATACAACTATGTACCCGGGGGCTTTGGGGAGAAAAAGGAAAAAATAAAATCTTTTAAAAAAAAAATGTTCTCCTTTCTATGTGTCAGACATTGTGCTAGGTACATAAATTCAATCCTTAGGAAGCCTTTAAGCTAGCCAAAAAAACATAAAACCAGGCCTACTGGTATGGTTCTATACCCCAGTCCTAATCATTGCCTGAAAATCCTACTGTGATCCGAGCCAGCTCATCTCAGATTATCCACGGAAGCAATTTCAGACCATCATTCTCAAACCTCTAACCTATCCAGGAGTGCCTCACTTTCAACTCACAGAGGAAACGCCCTCAATTTGCCAGCACGCCACAGATAAACCTACTTCCTTTCACACCCTTCCTTCCCCTTTACTATCTTTCAACAGAAGCAGCCCTGTTCTCAGGCCAGCACCTACACAGGAGCCCTGATCCCTGACTCCTCCCATTTGTTCCTTCCCATTAGCACTTAAAGACACTCAGGTTTCTCTTATGCTAACAAGCCCTCTGTGACACTCCATTACCTACCTCCTGCAGCTCCCCCCTCCTCCTTCTCCACAGCCAGACTTCCCTTCAGTGAACCAGGCAAGTCTGTCGCTCTTGCTCTATCACTTTCCATTTGCTCCTCGGAAGTTCCAACCTGGATTTTACCCCTATCGTTCCACTCAAACAATTTTTTCTTAAGTTCACTAGTGACCTCCAGGTTGCTAAATTCAAAAACAACTTTTCAGCCCTCCCTTGCTTGACTTCTCATTGGCATGACCTCTCATTCCTTCTTCTGGAAACATCCGCTTCCCTCGGCTTCCACCACACAACATTCTTTTCATTTTCCCAATACTTCTGGCTGCTCCTTCCACGTCCTTAGCCTGTCAGGCTCTCTGGGCCTGTCCCAGGACCTCTACGTCTGCTCTTCACTCTCTCTCTGGACAATCTCATCTACTTTCACAGCTTCAAGTGCCATCAGTATATTGATGACTCCCAAAGTTTCACTTCCTCCGAGCTTCAGACTCATTTGCTGGCTGCCAACGCGACACCTCCATTGGAGATCCTGCAAGGACCTCTAACTCAACTGCCCTTACCTTCAACATCCATCCCCAAATCCTCTTATCCTCCAGTATTTCCCATCCCCTCCATAGAAAACCACCTGCACAGAGGCTTAAGTCACAAATCAGGGAGTACTTCCGTCTTGTTCACAACTCCCACCTCTCCACACATGATCTGTCAACAAACATACCTTACTGAGTCTACTTCCTAAGTGTCTCCAGTTACTTCAGTTCTATCTACACTCCCACCTCCTTAACTCACCCGCCACCACCTCTGCATCTTGAGACAGCCTCCAAACCGATTCCTGCTCTCCTGTCACTCACGCCTCACACTGCAGCTACAGGGATCTTTTCAGAACAAAAAGCTGTTTCCCTCAGGGTCCTGCGTAACTGCTTTATTCCTTCCTGCCACTCACAGAGTAAGTCCAAAATCCTCACCAAGTATGTGAACTGCCCTCTGTACACCTCTCTGGCCTTTCCACATCCTCTCTCTTCTTCCACAGCCATATTGTTCTTCCAGTTCCCTGGACACACTGAGCTCTCACTCACCTCAGGGCCTTTACACACACTATTCCTACCAGGAATACTTTCATCATCATGGGATCAGTTAATTGCTATTTATTCTTCAAGTCTCAGCTTTCTCAGAGAAGCTTTTAAGAACCCCCAGACCTGATACATCCTCCCTAAGACCCCGACTTTGTCTTTCTGTATTCATCTCATTTCTGATTACTCAAAAGAGCGGCTTAAGTGCCAACCACTGTGTCTCCTTGGTGTGCCACAGGTGCTTAAATAAATGTCTCCGCAGTTAATGAATGACTGGGAATTAATGACATAAAACAAACATCAACGTATCTCAATTCTAATAAATAATTTCCCCAACTTAGAATTTAACTCCTTGACATCTGCATACAATATCACTTCTTTGCTTCTGCACTCAGAGCCAGACAAAAGCACAAAAACAAGAAAACCGCATTTGCCTTTGTCAAAGACTCAATTACAAATACTCTTCCTCAGGAGGGGGAATTAGTGATTAATGGGCACAGAGTTTCACTTCTGCAAGGTGAAAAAGTTCGAGAGATTTGTTGCAATGTAAATATACTTAACACTACTGAACTGCACTTTTAAAAATGGAAACTGGTAAATTTTACGTTTTTTTACCACAATAAAAAAATTAAAAACAACAATACTCTTCCTTAAAAAGTTCCACTCAGTATTATGTTAAGTGAAATAAGCCAGATAGAGAAAGACGAACTCTGTATGACTCCACTCATAGGTGGAAGTTAACATACAGACAAAGAGAACTGATTGGTGGTTACCAGGGGAAAGGGAGATGGAGGGAGGGCACAAAGGATGAAGTGGTCCACCTACAACATGACTAACAATAATGAACCACTGAAATTTCACAAGATTGTAAACTATCATAATCTTAATAAAAAAATAAAAAACAATTTCCACTCACAGGGGCCGGCCCCGTGGCTGAGTGGTTAAGTTTGAGCTCCGCTTCAGTGGCCCAGGGTTTCACCAGTTCGGATCCTGGGCGCGGACATGGCACTGCTCATCAGGCCACGGTGAGGCGGCGTCCCACATGCCACAACTAGAAGGACCCACAACTAAAGTATACAACTATGTACTAGGGGGATTTGGGGAGAAAAAGCAGGAGGAAAAAAAAAAGATTGGCAACAGCTGTTAGCTCAGGTGTCAATCTTAAAAAAAAAAATTCCCACTCATAATTATATTCAAGAGCTATCTTTTCTCAGCCTTTGACCCTGCTCTTCCCACCAGCCTTAAACACACTTATAATACCCCCTGTTCAGTCTCAGACAGAATTCTTGCCCTGGCCACCTATGGCTTAGCTAGACCACTAAGCCCACATAAAACACCAACATAAATGCCTATAGCACTTACTCTCTGAATCTAAAACAGCGTTTGAACACACTGACACAAGGCAGTCATAGATAACTGTAGACACCAGAAATACCTGGATTCTACGTATTAAGTCCAAAGGAGAAAGGTACCTTGAAAGGAGAGATGTCTGACAAATTTCTTAACCAAGTGACCAAACTTAACATCACCAATAATGATACAAACTGACACTAGGAACCTCTGGAGAAGAGGTTCTGAGAAGGACACCTCACCACCTGCGTAGGATTCTTGCCCAAGACGTTTAACCTGAATCCAATCCTGAGGAAGCAGTCAGATAAATTTAAATTGTGGGGTATTCCACAAAAGACTTACCTGGACACTTCAAAAATGTCAAGGTCATGAAAGTACTCCCTCCCCCAAAAAGGCAGATTAGAGGAGGTTAAAAGGACATGTCAACTTAATAGCAGATTTGATCCCTGAGTGGATTCTGGTAAAACAAAAAAGCAAACAAAAAAGCTAAACAAAATGAAAGATGAAAACAACTATAATGGACGTTTTGGGGGCAACCGGGAAAATGAGACTGGATTACATATTAAGGTAACGTTATGTCAGGCGTTAAGTTTCTTGAGTGTTAAAATGGTATGACAGTTACACAGGAGGATTTAGGGCTGAAGTGTCATGATGTCGTCACCCGTCCCTCAAATGGCTTGGCAAAATAAAGTCTATACACACACATGCATCTGAACGTAGGGAGAGAGTGAAAGCAAACATGGCAAAATGCTAACAAGTGGTAAATTCAGCTGAAGGGCTAAATACAGATATTTATTGTACTATTCTTTCAATTCTTCTGTAGGCTTGAAATTTTTCAAAATATGGCCATTTACTAAAGCCATTTAAAGACTTTGCTGACGATGGAATACTGGATAGACAGACACAGGATTTCATCTTGTAGGGATGACGGGCCCCACTGTGTCCACGTCTCTACCATCAGGTCTGGTGCTTAATCACAACCAGGCTTGATAATGGACACAGCCCTTATTTCTCTTTACCTGTATTGCAAGCATCTCGAAAGCAAGGACTTATAATTCTCTGTGTTTCCCATATTACCTACTACAGTGGTATATGCAGGCGCTATATGCTCAATACATGTTTGCTGAATAAATACGAACAACTTAAGTATTAAATATTATTATTTTGCTGCAGGCATAAACACGTTAGTCAACAACCCTGAATGACTGACTACTTAAAGATTATCTATGCGGAAATGTAATTTGCACACACATGAAAGACTATGAATATAACAGCTGAAGAAGAACGAACGAGAGAAAAAGAAAGCTACACGTGCTTCTCGCCCCTCATTTTCAAAGCATTCAGTTCAGATGACACGGTGTATACAAACTGCTTTCTATAAGAATGTACCTTTCCCTGGATGCTTCATCTGGGATGCCGAGGCATATTTCTCGGTCGAACCTTCCAGCACGTCTCAAAGCAGGGTCTAAGGAATCTGGCCGGTTAGTGGCTCCAATGACTAGGACCCGAGCTGTAGCCGCCGCGTTATTCAGATCTAGTAACACCAGACACAGGATGAGAGGTGATCAAGACACCTGACAATGAGGACAATAAAGCTTACGCAAGTCGTTTCAGCGGCTGGAGGGAAAGTATTACACATTTTGATAGCAATATACATATAAAATTAACAATGACTAAAGGTCTAATACGTGAAAGATGTGAGGAAGATAAATACAAACTTTGTCCTCAGGCAGCTTGCACTCTATTGGGAAACACGTAAGACAAATGTTGTGAAGCCCAACAGCTGGTGTGAACAAAGCCCCACAGCAATGCAATGGAAGACACTATGAATTCCGATCGAGGAAGAAGGGAGAGTTCGGGAGGAGCCACCACTCTGGGAAAGTCCTGAAGGGTGAACAGGATATTAATAAGCAGAGATGCAGGTTAGGGATATTCTACATGGAAGAAATGGTACGAGTGAAGGCAGAGACGGACAAACAGGTGTGACATGTTTAGACAAGGTGAGCAGTCCAGCAGGGGGTCTGGGTAAGACAGAGGATGTCTGTCTCCAGAGACTCACAGCATTAATTTGAGATGGGGATGCAACAGTCTTCAGTTGCTCTGCTAAATCTACAGACAGATTTTTAGCAATGGACGGAAGGCAGGGCCTAAAGTGTATCTTTCGTAAGTATTATTTCTCTCAACTGAAGCAGGGTCGAACAGCAGAGTCTGAGTTATACCCTCTAGAGTGTGTAATAAGAAGGCAGCAAGATGCTAATTAAGTACTCTGACAGCCAAGTCATGAGGAATTTACAGTATGTTCTTTAGCCAACAGAAAGCCATGGAAGGTTTTTCTGAGAAGACTTGTGTTTTGGAAAGATAATTCTAACAATAATTTTGAAGAGAGTAAAGAGGAATAAAGGGGAAAAGAGTTTGTGGTATTTGATTACAATAAGTGGGTAAGAGATGGGTGAAATAAGGTAGGAACACAGTAAATAAAAAGGAAACCCCCAATTTAAGTACAGGGTCGTAGACGGAATCAAAAGCACTAATGATTCCATGTGAGGGGTGAGGGAGAAGGAAGACACAAAGACGACTTAGTTTGGCTGACAAGGTTGGAGGTGATGCTCTTAACTCAAATGTGGAACAGAGGGAGGTTCGAGAGAGGCGGAGGGGGCTAAATGGGAGAGTGAGCTTAGCTTCGGACACACTGAGTGAGGCGTCTGTGCGATGGTCACAGGCAAGTGTCTGACAGGCAGTTGGGAATAGGGGTTTGAAGCTTCTCAGAACCAGGTTAGAGATGTAACTGGGGAGTTTTCCAATGAAGAGCTGAACAGGAATAGTTTGGAAACGGGTAAGAGGCAAGAACAGACGACCCAGCATAAAGCCTTCAGACTATCTTTAAGGGATGGGTAAAAGGAGGCAAGCAAGGAAAGGACAGTGGTGAGGAGCTGTCAGAGAACCCGGAGGAGGACAGAAGGAGGGCGGTGTCACTCAAGCCAAGTGTACTAACAATCACAAGGGCAAGGGGATCAGCAGGACCAAACGCCCTCGACGACAATCAGTCCTGAGGGCTCGCTGCACGCCAGGCTCTGCTTCCTCCAGGTTAGAGCCTCTCCCTCAGCCAACCCTCACAGCAGCCCTCAGACGGAGGTGTTAGATGAGATACTGAAGAACAGAGGTTCAGAGGGATGGGAGCCAAAAGCAAGCCAACACAGGTGGCAAACAGATGACACCAACGACTCTTCTGTGACCAGTTTCAGTAAAACGGCAGAGGCAGATATACAATCATGGGGTGGGGTGTAGAACAGAATGGAAAGAGGAACATACATTTAGTTGACAGCGACTATTCTTTTGATAAATTTTGGAAGGAAAATAAGAGAGTTCATAAGGTGGTGGGTTTGAGTGAAACAGGAAAGCTCTTCAATACTTTTTGAAAACTGAATAGAAGAAACTGGCTAAAGGAAGAGGGTCATGCGATGAGATGGATCACTGATCAAGCAAAAGAAACCTCACAGGAAACGAGGAGCCGTCTCCTATTCAGGGACATCACGAGCTACAAACTCGCATCCACGTGAAGATGTTTACCCTGAATCCTCCTTGCATGAAGGCTGCTATAGAGCCAAAGCTGTTCGACTGCTGCTTCACACGTCTCAATTTCCGAAGCTAAAAGAACCAGCAAGGGGGAGGATTTACATCTTTTCTCTGGTTCATGTTGCTCACGCACTAGTCTTGGGATGAGCCCTGAGCATATCAAGGATTGAGAATTGAATTCAACACGGACCATCATGGAAATCTGTTAAATCTTCAGTAACGAACAAATTCTTCCATAGGAAATCAACTTAGCAACATAAGCACCATTTCAAATGCTGTTTTTCTCCTTTGTTCTAAACGAAGTCATTTGAAAGATAAAAATCAGACCTCAGCTTGGATTGGCCAGCCACTACTGCCAGTAACTTCAAGATAAATCCCACTCTTTCTCTCCCTCTTCTAGAGTATGATTTGATCATGTTAAATTGAAGTTATGCTAGCCAACAGTTTGAATTTCAGAATATCATAAAAGGAATGAAGTTTTATTTCCTTCTACACAGAATAAAAGGAACCAGTTAATGTGTTTCTCTCATAAATAAAGCAAGCATTTGTGGGTAGCTCATTAATTGTGTATGTGTAAATAAACATCTGGATTCTAGCCCATGCTTTGCCAATGACTCACTGCATGAACTTGGCCCTTAGCTCTCTGTGCATCAGTTTCCTCACACACAAGATGATGATATTTTAAGATCTTTCCAGCTCTTAATAATCAGAATTATATCTGAGTTTAAGTTTTTGAAATTAGGTACAATCAGTTCTGTTGAGTGATCTCATTATCTTCTTCAGATTTGTTTACTTAAAAGTTTTAAATTATTAAAATTTCAAATTTGTAAACTCTGAATTTATAAGGTTTTACAAAATCCTCAAACTGTGGGGAATAATAACCACATGGCACACACTATTTGGCAGGATAACTGTGTAAGTGGGACCGTTTACTGTTCTCCCTAGCCCGGTTTATAAAGGGGGACCTCAACACACACACAGAGATACACACTGAAAACCCCAACTAATAGAGCTTTCAGTAATGTGTACTAATAGGTAATCTGCTTAATCCCTGGACTGTTCATTTTCTCCATATTTTACTATCTCTGAAGTCAGAATGTTTCTACTATCAGTGTGGTAAGAAAGCGTGTCATAGTTTGGTAGTGTCTTTTTCCTTCTTGGACGTATATAAAATCATGGTGTATCTTATAATTGACAACAATTCAGCTTCAATAAAATATGGCAAATCAGAACACAGGCCTCAAAACATGCCAAGAAAATTTTACATAAAAATAAAACAGCAAAATAAACACTCTACAACCCAGCACCAGAAGGAACACAAAATACGCACTACTTCACATTCTCTTATGTACAAAACATGTTATTTCATAGTAGGCAAGATCAATTCCAAAAGTTCTGCCTGTCCTGGTCCTTCCCTCCAAATTTGTATCTAAAGACCATTAAACAAAACTGAAAAACAAGTTACAGATAGGATAGAAATAATTGCAATATATTTAAAAAAGGGTTTGTTTGCAAAATATATTAAAATACATCATACCTTCAAATCAATTTTTAAAAAATAATTCAATAGAACATGGGCAAATGATGAGAAAAGGGATTTTGGAAATGATACAAATAGCCAAAAAAATATGGAAAGATGATGAATCTCAATGGTAATTAGGGAAATAGAAATTAAAACAAACAGATGTCAATTTTCACCCACCAGATTGGCAAAAATTAAAACAATTGATAACATTCAGTGTTGTGAAGGATCTGCCAAAAGGGTGACTCTCATACAGTATTGGTGGAAAGGTAAACTGCAAAGTCTTTCTGGAAAGCAATTTGCCATTTCCCATGAAAATTTAAAATGTATAATCTTTAACAAACATTGCTTCACTTTTTACTATTTATCATAGAAAAATACATGCACACCAAAAAGACCCATTTAAGGATATTCTCTACAGCTTGTTGTAAAGCAAAAAACAAAACTTAAATATCCATCAAAATGGGGGGGCTGGCCCCGTGGCCGAGTGGTTAAGTTTGCGCGCTCCGCTGCAGGCGGCCCAGTGTTTCGTTGGTTCGAATCCTGGGCGCGGACATGGCACTGCTCATCAAACCACACTGAGGCAGCATCCCACATGTCACAACTAGAAGGACCCACAACGAAGAATATACAACTATGTACTGGGGGGCTTTGGGGAGAAAAAGGAAAAATAAAATCTTAAAAAAAAAAAAAATCCATCAAAATGGGAATGTTTAAGTACAATATGATAAATCTATCCTAAAGAATACTATGGAGCAGTTATAAAGAGGTAACTATAAATGCATTAAAACGGCAACATTTCCAAGACATATTGTTATGATAGAAACAGCAAGTTATAGAACAATGTGTATAGTGCAATCCTAGCATTGTGAAAAAAAAAAAGTTAATGTATTTATGTGTACACAGGCATTAAAGATAAGTGTAAGATATGCTAAAAAAATTAATGATGTGATCCTCTATGCAAAGAAAAAGATTTCTGTTTTTTACTCTGTTTTATTCTATTTGAACGTTTCACATCTTCACATATTACTTATACTATTAAAAAAAAAATTTATTATCTTAAAGTGAATTCATTATTTTGAACTGACCATCCATGCAGGTTAGGAGCTGGGCCACAATCCTTCGTTCCATATCTTTGGAAGCAACTTCTCTTTTGGGGGTAATAGCATCAATTTCATCAATAAAAAGGATACAGGGTGCATTTGACTAGAAACAAGAATATCACAAAAAGGCAATCATAAATACATTCCCTATACTGCATCATAGTTAAGTATACACATTTGAAAAAATCTTAAAGCTCAAGGATCATTCACCAAAAGAATAACCCTACAGAAAGGAGTTCAGTGTATTACTTCTGATTTTTATCTGACTTAAGAGAAGCAAGATGCTTAAAAGAGCACAGTAAGAGACTGCGTGTAGGATAACACATTTACAGTCTTCTCATCAATCCATGTTTTGTAATGATAAATCTACTGAAATTCTTTTGCAAATTAGGCATATTTGCCATGCTATGAAATAATGTTTATAAACTTTAAACTAGAAAGCCTCAGCTTACAAATGTTATATTAGTTTTCCTACCGACATAAAAATATCCAAGCTTTTCCCTAGAATCTGCTGTAAGAGGAATTTAAGAAGCACCAGAGGCTTTGTTTTTTATTTTTTTATTGTGGTAAAATATACATAAAATTTACCATTTTAACCATTTTAGGTGCACAGTTCAGCGGCATTAAACACGTTCACAGTGCTGTGCAACCATCCCCACTACCCACCTCCAGAACTTTTTCACGGCCCCATACTGAAACAACCAGAGGCGTGTTTTAAAGGCTACATTGAATGAGGAGGGATGGTAAAGTTTGAATACATCTGTGTGGATAACGATCATCTTCAGTCTTTTTTTAAACTCAAACCAGACAGAGTTAAGATAGAATAAATTAAGATATAATATAAGCATAATGACCTGGAGTAGTCAAATTCATAGAAGCAGAAAACAGAATAGTGGTTGCCAGGGGCTGGAGGGAGGGGAAAGTGGGAGGTAGTGGTTAATGGGTATGGAGCTTCAGTTTGGGAAGATGAAAAGTTCTGGAGATGGATGGGGGTATTGGTTACAGAACAACATGAGTGTACTTAATGCCACCGAACTGTACACTTAAAAATGTTTAAAATGGTAAATTTAAATTTAACATATTTTACCACAATAAAAACAAACAAAAATAGATAAGGATCAGTTAAAATGAAAATTTAAATGAAAACATCTAGATATACAATCTAAAGCAGAGCTCACTCTTAATTATTCAGTGGTTGGAAGTGACACTGATTATGCCAGGAGACTCTGAGCCTGGCTAAGACATCTCAAAACCACGGGGACCACTGCAACGTAAAGGAAAAGGAAACTGGCCGATCGCTAGCTGGCTCTCTTCTCAGTCCTCCTCATGACCATTCACAAAGGAGCACCTACGACTGCTGGATACATCACCCAGTTACAAAAGAGTAAAGCTACAGAATGCAAAGGTCTCAGAAAGCAAGCACAACAGTATTTGTCAATGACCTGGAAAACTGAATAAGAAACAGAGGAAGAAAGATAAGTGGTGTTCATCAGAATTCAGCCTAAAGAAAGCATACAGTTTTCAACAGAGAACATTTGATTTGATTTGACCTTTTTGTTCTCTGATCCACATACTTCATGTACTCACTTTCATTAGGGAACATGGGGTCTGGGAAAGATGGGTGCTAGACCATCTATTTCCTGAGCATCTACTGTCAGGCATCGTACCAGCTCAGTACCGGTTCAGAGAGAGATGAAAACACAGAACTAACAACCTAAAAACGCCATTTGTCCCTTTCACCCTCATTCATCATTGTGTTTACCATAAACAGAAAATGTATGACTTGTCCTCTGGCTATGCATGCCAATTTAATATCGAGTTCACTTTGGAAAACAGGTAACAACTGAAAGATTTCAGCTTTGCTGTGCATAGTACCCTCCTCACTCTTTCTCTGAATCTTCCTTGTATTGTCCACACCTTTCCAAATGTCAGTTTACACATTAAATCAAGTAGATGGCTTCCACATTCTTGCTATTTTAAAAAATATTTTCTCAATTACCGCTAAAATATTATTTCTCTTCTAACTTCACATTGGCTTCTAGCAGTTGCCATCGGCTATGTTCACCAGCACCAATATATTCTGGGTGCAAATAACATAAAATTAAACTTTTCACCATTTTTTAGTTTTTAACCACAGTGATGACTAGTAACTGGTCATACGTGATGTCACAGCTAATATTTACAGGGCTCCTGCTGTGTACTGGGCACCACATTAAAGGTTTTACAAGAAATCTCTATTTAATACTCCAACAACCCCATGAGATTTGAGTGGCCGTATTAAGCCAGCTTACCAGTAAGGAAACTAAGGGTTAGAGTGGTTAATCTCTTGTCCAGGACTACAGGATTAGTAACAATTAGTACATGGTGACACAGGAATGTCAACCTGTGCTTCTGACTTGAAACTACAGGCGTTTAACCACTACACTCAACTGAAGAGAACACTTTAATTGGACACAAACGTCATCTTCCTCAGTCCTTAAACATCCACATCTTAATAACATGAACTACAATTAGGATAAAAGCCAGTCTGTACTTTCTCTGGTGACAGAACTTTCTTTTCACAGCTCCAATTATGCAAATAGGGGAGAGTTTATCCTGGCGTTCCTGTGGTGGCTTTTATAATGTGATAATCCTAAACGATGAAAATTTCCACACTGCTTACAAGTTAGTAAGTCAAACCTAAGTTGAGGAAACAAAAAGTCAAAAAAAATATCACAAAGATAATCTATTGTCAACATGACTACTGGGTACGACAGTCCAGAACTTGTCACCAATTAGATTTATGCTTGATTTCAGATTAAACAGGTTATTTTATCCAACAGTCTGCATCGGTAAATCTGCTTTAAATATTTAGCCGTCAAGGGCAGAAAATGACCATGTTTGCAATAGAATGCCCAGTGAATGGGTTAACAAATACCAGCCTTAGAGGAAACAGGATCTTCAGTAGAGCCTTACACAGTCTGACCACCCGACGTTGGGCATTAGCCCACTCACCACAGCTTGTTCGAACAGTTCCCTCAGCTTCTGTTCAGATTCTCCAGATACTCCAGACACAACTTCTGTAGCAGCTACTTTCAGAATCGGAAGGTCAAGTTCCTACGCACAAATATATAAAAGAATGACCAAATTTTCACATTTTATCTTCCCAACTTTTTCCTTACTCAGTCCTTCGAAATTACTCTTTTAAATGACCAATTTTCTGAGGAACTTCATCTTTTTGTGTTGGTCCAATGAAAAACATTCTTTAAAAATCTACATTCTTTAAAAATCTTTAAAAATCTGTGTTTTATTCAAAGACATTGACCGGATACCTTTTACTTGTTTTTACTTTACTGACACCACCATAAGACTCTGTTATTCTTCCGAATAAAGAGTCTTGAATCTTAAGAGATGTTTCCCCCCACTTAGAGCTGAGCCAAAACAATTTTACCTGTTAATTATCTGCTGGAAAGGAAATAGTAGGGGCTGCGACATAGCTGTCTCCCACACAGTCTACTAGCATTTCCCCACCCCTGCACCCAGAGAAGAGGCCAGAAGTCACAGGAGGCAGGCTCTTCAAGTCAAGGAAGACAAACTAATGTCCCACCAATGCGAACGGCAGCAAGCCTGCCTGAGTCCTACTCATTCTTCTGGCTGCCTTGAAATCTCACTTCCTCAGTCATATATTCCTCGACCCCAACTCTTAACGTGGGTATCCCGACAACACACGACATAGCATTCTGCACTTCTTCTGTCTCCCACTTATTACAGTTGTAACTGTACAACATTTACTTGTATGAATGACTGTTTCCTGTCTGTCTCTCACACTAGATTGGAAAACTCCTTAAAGATAAACACTGGGTTTGTTGTACTTACTATATTTCAATGTCTGGCATGTAGCAATCACACAATAGATTTATTCAACAAATTAAGAGATGAGGCAAATCAATCAAGTTCTCCAATAAGAATGATTTTCCTTCACAGAGCACTAATCTATTAGTGATTGGTATAGTAGGCTATTCTTCAAAGGGAAGTTACTCTGACACTGCGCAATTTACCACCCAATACTGTACAGTTTCTAAAAAGACTCATGGAACTAAAATAAGACTGATGACTTTTTATTTTGCCAAGTATCTTTTATCACCATCTTAGAGAAGATATGTTTTGTGTTTTATTTCTTCATTGAGGTACAATCAACATACGACATCAGTTTTAGGTATGCTACATAATGACTTGGTATTTGTATATATTGCAAAATGATCACCAGAGTGTCTAGTTAACCAGCATCGCCATGCATAGGTACAGAATTTTTTTTTACTTGTGATGAGAACTTTTAAGATTTACTCTCTCAGCAACTTTCAAATACGCAATACAGTGTTAACTATGGTCACCATGCTGTACATTACATCCTCATTTAGAAAGGACATTCTAACACTAAAAAGTATAAGGACACGATTAAATGGAAATTCTGAATAAATTTTAGCTCTCTGAAAAACAATACCATCCTTAGTTTTCTTATTTTACTGCTCTCGAGAACCAGTGACTTAAAGGGAAAGAGAAGTAACTAAAATGTAAACCACATATTTAAAAAAGGGTTGCTTACAGCTCTATTATTTTGCTTCCCACCCAATCCTTGCCATGTAAATAAGTGGAAACACTAAAAAATAAAATAGCATCTCACAAAGAGCAGCATGAAAGAGGTAAAAAACGAAGACGGGATCAGTCTTCCTTATGCCAAGTCTGGTTCCAGTTGACCAAAGAGAAAAAAAAAAACAAATAACAAAAGCAAACAAGTGTCAGCAAACCTCACCCCAGCAATTGCATGTGCCAGCAATGTCTTCCCACAGCCTGGCGGTCCATGAAGGAGGACTCCACGAGGGGGAATGACGCCCAGGTGGTGGTACACCTCCGGGTGACGCATGTGTATGAGCATCTTGCAGACTTCCTAGCAGGAATAAACAGGAAAGATGTCTTTCACAGCCCAAGAGAGAGTCGATGTGGAATGAAAGACCCTATTCTTTGGAGCAGCAAAACACAGTAGAGAGAGTACAGGCTTTAGACTCACACCGGAGTCTGAATCCCAGCTCTGGTACCTATTGTGTGACTTCAGAATAACCTCTCTGAGCTGCCATTTCCTAAGCTGTAATAACATATACCCTGCAGATACAATGAAAAGTAACTAGCTTGGTAACTGGAACAGAGCAGACACTAAAAAATAAATAGAAACTATTACTACTGCTAGTGTTAAAACACTATTATGTATAAAGCATATATCTTATACACGTACACTATAATTAAAATGGTGAAAAAGCTAAAGAGAGGGTGGTTCTTTTAGCCCTCAATACCATGAAAGGTACAAATCAGGTCTGCCCTTCTCACCTCCCCAGTCTCCTTTTCTACATCCAGTTCCCAGTAGAAACAGAGGGGTCAGCTTCATCAGCATAAGTGATTAGCAATATTCTCATTTAAGGTAAAATTCTGATTTGAACTAACTTTTAATGTCGTATCATTGCCTCCAACATCTTCGAACGTCACGCTGGAGATCTGCAGCTCTAGCCCCCTGGCTTTAGCTGGTAAACAAAGAAGGAGATGAAGAGACTCGTGATTCAGTAGTAACTCAGAATTATACTTAATTATCTTTACATAAACACAGGTCCACTAGATACTGAAATATTTTCTAATGAACGTCTCTGCACAAAGAAGGTCCATCAAGCATCACAGCTTGGAACAGTGAAGCCTCGCTCAATGCAAACACGGCCCATGCCACCCACAAGACTCACGTCTCACCTCTCTTTTCCAGGACAGCTGCTATTTCTCCATCTGCTTCCTGGAGATCTTCTTTCTTCCTTTTGCTTCCTTTGCTCTTTAGCCTACCTTTCCTTTGTTCATTACTCTCCAGAAGAGAAGAATCTTTCGAATCCTGGAAAGACAATTTAAATATGCCATGCTTGAAATTATAACGCCATTCATGTTTTTCTAAAGATAGGCATTATTACAAAGACCCATTCCTGCCCGAGCACTTTCAGCCCTGTTAGCTATTCCCAACTTCTCTGCTCAAGGATGGTCTCTGCTGGGGATGTCCTTCTTTTCCATAACCTTAAGGCTCAGTGGATGGCCTAACATTTGAAAACTTCCTTTTCAGATTCCTCTAGTTAGAATTATCTCTTCCTCACATTCCCAGAATACTGAATTTGCAACTGCATTACAGCCTCCCATAATCTGCCTTGTAGTTGGATGATTTATCTGTCTGTGTCTATCTCACTGAATTGTGAGCTTCTGGAGTCGGGACCCTAACGTTCATCTTTTATTTCTCACTGACCATCTTACATAGTTGGTGTTCACTTGATGTTTGATGAATCACTAAATTAAGTATGACTAGCAAGCTTCTTTGACAGCCATAAGAAAGTATCCTTCAACATAAGAGTCAAGTTCTTTCCTTCCTTGCCAACCACAATAATGTTCTCTAACAACAAATGATTAAAGTAAAGAGATTTGGAAAAGACTTACTAACAATTCAAAAGGGGGAAAGAGTTGCCAAACCAAAAGGCTTAGTTCTTGGAAACCACTTAGAGCAGCCCTGTCCAAGGGAAACAGAATGTGAGCCATTTATTTTACTCATTCTAGTAGCCACGTTTAAAAAAGGAAAAAAGAAACAAGTGGAATTAACAATCTATTTTATTTAACCAGATATACTCACAATATCATTTCAACATATACTCAGTATAAAGAATTGTTAATGAGATGTTTTATAGAGGTTTTTGGTAGTTAGTCTTCAAAGTCCCATGTGCACTTTATGCTTACAGCACATCTCAATTTGAATGCTAAATTTTCATGGGAGATCTTTGATTTGTATTCAGATTTCATAAAATTTACAGCTGAACAAGGAGATTCATATATTCAACTTGTTCCAAACATACTTAGAAGTTTTCTAATAACTGAATTGACTACTAGTTTTTAAATTCAAATTAAAAATTCAGTTCCTCGTTTGCACTAGCCACATTTCACGTGCTCATCAGCCACACACGACTACCACTTACCACACTGGACAGTGAGCCCTGGAGCGCAATCAGCTGCTCCATCATGGGATAGATTACTTTAAACCCCCCTCTGCCAGGCATTGAAAGAATCAGCTAAAAACAACACCCCATGTGCTCACTTCGCGATAACACATCAAGCTTTACTTCTCTTTATGTATGGTACGCTTCATTTTAAAAAGCTAAAGAAAAAGGGTATCTACAGAGTCTATCCATCCTTGTAGCGCATCCACTTACATAGGTTCCCTCAAGGTATTATCCTCAACTGAAAATAAACCACACTGCTCTTCTAGCAGCTTGCCTCCCCTCTTCCCACAACTCCCGCCTCTCTGTAACGCACACCCAAAGCAGTTGCTCTTTACCTCTCACCAGCAAATGCATCTCTGGAAGTTCTTTAAGCACTAACTCAACAAACTGACTGCCCACCATGTGCTAGATCTACTGTAGCCAGGGACACATTATTAAAGAAGACAAAGTGCCTGCTCTCCTGGAGCTGACATTCTAGCAGGGGGAGACAAAGGGGAAAAACCCACTAAACAATTACACGGTAAGTCAGGTGATTTTAATTACGTAAAAGAAATAAAGCAAAGCATTCAATGATGCACTACTTTACATGTCAGGAAAGACCACGCAGTGAAGATGACACGTGAAAAGAGACGTGAAGAAATGAAGGAGTGAGTCACAGGAGTGTGGGGAAAGAGTGTCCCAGAGAGAAAGTACAGGTGCAGAGGCCTCCAGTGAGAGAGGGCTTGGCGTGCTCTAGAAACAGCGAGAAGCCTGGCTCTGGCTGAAGCAAAGCTGGGACATGGTGGAGGAGGGTAGCGGCGATGAGACTGAGGAGGCAGCAGGCAGCCACATCCATCAGGGCTTTACTGGCAACTGCAAGATCTTTGACTTTAGCCTGAATGAAGCCATTGGAGGGTTTTCAATACAAGAATGACAATGATCTGACTTAACTTGTGGAAAAGATATCTCTGTGTGAAGAATAAACAAGGGGAACAAGAATGAAGCAGACTCCTGCTAGAAGGTTATTTCAACAGTCAAGACAAACAGAGTAGAGCCTTGGACTAGGATGGAAATGATGGCAGCACTGGGAAGTGATCAAATGCTGCATGTATTTCAAAGTTCCTATGTCTTCTATAAAACACAAAATCTACTCTAGATTATATTTAATGAGAAGACTGTAATGTATTCCAACGATGTGGGATTAAAATTTCACTATAAAAATACCTCTATCTCAGATATTAGCTTCTTACGATTACTTTTTTCATCTGATAGGTCCAGGAAAAAACTGTCTTTCTTTCCACCTGGCATTTTGTCAATAAACCATCCTCGGTCAGAACCTCTGGCAGGGGTCTTCGAAGGAATGGAGACTGCTTTGGAAGTTATCCGTGGTGTTGAGACAGTGGTTTCTCTTTGCTCCATCTCAGGAGTACTTGAAACAGAATCAGGATTTCCTTTCCGATATAAGGAGAGCAGGGAACTGTTCATATGATTTGCGGACTGGCAGAAACACGATTTTAGCATAAATTACTCAATAGGTTCTCAGGGAAGGTTGAACACCTATGGTAGTTAAGTTTTCTACATTCCACTTTCAACTACTTCTCTCACAACATTTACAGTCAGAAAATATAGGTATTCGCTCCAAGAGGACTTACAAACATTACTATTCAAAAACACTACTCCAACTTAATGGACCAATTCATAATTGGCTGCTAAATAAAACCAAATGAGTTATGGTGGCTTTAAAAAAATCTAACAGAAGCAAGTATGAAAATGAGCTGGTAGTCAGTGAGTGTCACTACCATCCCACCAATTCAAAACCGGATCAAGTATAACTGAGCATCATCATGACTTTGTTACTAAATTCAAAAACTGAATTACCAATGGGGAAAAAAATAGAGAGCAAGTTACAAATAATTTGACACATTATTCCCACACTTCTTTAATCCAAGCCTATTTATTGGCAATGCCAGCTCTTTGGAAGAAAATGTATCCTTTTCTACATTTTTACTATTAATTCTCCTTTCTATTCCTGTCCGTCCTTATTTCTGGATGTTCTCTTCCCTTCCTTTTCCCTGTACATCAGGCAATAAACACAAATACTGGAAGGACGGCTAATCCAAGAGTTGATTAACACTGTACACAGGAAGTATTCAATTATTTATTGATCAAGATGATCAAAATCTCTTACTCTATTGATTTTTTCTAAGGAGGGTTTATAACGATTGGAAAAAAAAATTCAAAGTGGGTCCATTAAATATCTGGCTTACCTGTGCATCTGGGTAATCTTCCACATTTGAATCATCATCAGAATAGCTTTCAGTATACCTCAGTAAAAAGAGGAAAAGGAACGTTTTAAAGGCTTTTCTCCCATAACCTAGAAATATTATACCCAAAACAAAAAAAATATACTGAGGCAAAATATTATGGTGGTTAATTAAGAGACCAGGCTTTGAATCAGAGAAATCTAGATTTAAAATCTGGCTTTACCAGTTACTAACTTCTACTTAACCTCTCTGAGCCTCAGCTACCTTATCTACAAAACGGAAATAAAAAATAATGTCTATCTCACTGGGTTACTAGAGGATTAAATGAAAGCCTGCAAAGTCCTTAGCACATAGCAAATGCCTAATAAATTCTGGTTATCTTTATCCCAGCAATAAACAAAAGTGACAATAAATAAACAGTAACAAAATTTCCATCTGATCCAAGGGTCTCACTTAGGAACATCAGACGCCAGTAGAAGAAATACTCCAGCAAACCGTAATTAAGCACTCTGAGCAAGGAATTCACAAACTCAGCATGACCGAGTGATGCACCAAACATAACTCTCCCAAGTCTGTTCATGAGGAATGAAGGTAAAAAGGGTTTTTCATATGCTATGGCAAAAAACAAGTATAAATCCCAATAAGGACAAACTGAGAACGTAGTCTCAGTTCATTGTAACTGAGAGTTGATACCTAATAGCTTCAAGTAACTACAGGACTTTGCTACTATTTAATGTAGTTTCTTTAGAAAATAATTAAGAAACAGACTTTTCCTAAGTAAAAAGGTTTAAATGAATGCTATGACTCATCTTCATAAGTAAGACATGAATACTTTTGTTATTCATTACATTCAATTAATAGAATTTGGGGCATTTCTTTAAAAAAATATTTTTTTATATTGAGGTAACACTGGTTTATAATATTATACAAATTTCAGGTGTACATCATTGTATTTTGATTTCTGTGTAGACCACATCACATTCACCACCTAAAGATTAATTACCAATTAGCATCCACCACCGTACACGTGTCCTATCACCCCATTTGCCCTCCTCCCTCTTTCCAGCATTCTCCTCTGGTAACAACCAATCTAACCTCTGTATCTATGTGTCTGTTTGTTGTTGCTGTTTTGTTGTTTTTATCTTCCACTTATGAATGAAATCATATTGTATTTGACTTTTTCTGTCTGACTTACTTCACTTAGTATAATAACCGCAAGGTCCATCCATATTGTCACAAATGGCAAGATTTCACCTCTTTTTACGGCTGAGCAGTATTCCGCTGTGTGTATGTATATACATAATTGATGGGCACTTAGGTTATTTCCACATCTTGACTATTATGAATAACGCTGCAATGAACTTAGGGGTGCATATATCTTTTCACAGTCATGTTTTCATGTTCTCTGGATAAATACCCAGAAAAGGAATAGCTGGGTCATATGGTAGTTCTATTCTTAATGCTTTTGAGGAGTCTCCATACTGTTTTCCATAGTGGCTGCACCAGTTTGTAGTCCTACCAGCAGTGTATGAGGGTTCCCTTTTCTCCACATCTTCTCCAACACTTGTTATTTCTTGCCTTGTTAATTATAGTGAGGCATTTCTAATCAATGTAAAGAAGTTGGCTTAATTAACTATCTGGAAAAAAATTGTTTTGCCCTACAATTCACGACCTACAAACAAAATTAATCACAAATGGATGAAAGAGTTAAATGTAATACTATAAAGGAACTAGCAGAAAGTACAGGTCATTATTCTACATACTCTTGTGATAGAGGTCTTCCTAAGCATATCGGCATAAACCATAAAGGAAAAGACTGAGAGATGATAGATATGACTAGGTAAAGATGCAGAACTTCTCACACTATAATAACAAAATAACAAAAATAAAAGGAAAATGGCAAAATAGGGCAAGCATTTGCAAAACATAAAAAGAAGTGCTATTTTATAATACAAAGAGCTCTGACAACTAATAAGGAAAATTCAAATACTTCTCAAATGAAAGATAAAACCCATGAGCAAACTAAACCACAAAGGAAACATGAAACAGTCAAATAAAAAATTTAACCTCATTAGTCATCAAAAAATTAAAAATAAAACCAATATGATCACTTTTTGCTCATAAAACTGGCAAAGATTAAATAATAGTATAACTAGGATTGCAAGGGTGCAGAGAAATGCACTCTTTACACAAAGCTGTTGGGAGTTTAAACTGAGGCAACTCTTTTTTGGAGGGCAACTTCAAATGTACCAGAAATCTTAAACCTTTAACCATCTCTAATCTTAAACCATCTCTTCGACCCCAGAAATATTAGTTCAGGTTCACGTTTTAGAAAAAACCCCAGGGCTGTGTAATCCTTACTCATTCTCATCTTCACCTTGTCTTGCTCTTTTTGCCAGATGTTCATCTTCCAATTCTCTTATATCCTTAAGTTCTTTCTCACTACTAAGTATGCTAAATACTGAAACAAAAAGAAAAATACCATGAGCTAAAACACTTCTTTCTATAACTTTATTACTAATTCAGCTCTATCACAAAAGACTCACCTTTTTCTACCTGAATCCTGAAAGCATTTCTTTTCCTTCGACCATAGTCTATACTAAAAAACAAAAGAAGGAGTTTAGTGCAGTGGTCTCCACTCACATTATTCCATTAAGGTCAATCTAAATTGGTCACATAAATTTGCATGAATATATTATTATGTCACTGTATTCACACTGACCATAAACTTATTTTCAAACAACTTCCGAGTTTACATTTTTACTACCGTAATTTTTCTGGATTAGAGATGGCGGTATAGCATTAGGAATACTGCCAGCTTATAGTGAAGGGGACAGAGAAGGGAAGAAAGGATTTAACCTTTAGTGCAAAGACTAAATGAGGGACACATTTCTAGATAAACAGTCAGGAAGCTGAGGGAGATCACGCTTGATGGTTTTAATTTTCTAACGAAGCAGGAAAGGAAGTAATATAATAACTTCTCTATCTCCTGACCAGACTTGGGACCGAAAGATAAGCAACAGCCATTCCCCTTGGTGACAGGCATAGCTCCTTCATACCACAGGTGCGGGATAAATGTTTGTACAACTGAACTGAATTCCAAGTTTATGGGCTAGTGAACCAATGCCAGTAATTACCAACATCAATTGGAAATTTAGGCAGGATGGAAACTTTAAAAAATGGTGGGAAAGAAAAGCATGAATCTGAAGACATTTCTTTACCTATACATTCTTTGTAAATCAGATGCTAAGACTCCAGTGTCCACATATTTGCCACATCTGTTACTGGTGAGGTACTAGAACAAAAAATACGATAAATATGTAAAACTATTTCAAACGCAGTGATTTTAATCGACAAATAAGAGACTGAGCTATTCAAATGTTATACTTTAATGTAAACTCTTCATTATTAAAGCACACAAGAAACAAATAAAAATTAAAAATCAAGTGTCAAGTCTGGAATCAGAGAATTAACATTATTAATCACTATGACAACACAAGGACTAGAAGAGCAAGAAAGTAATACGTGAGGGCTTCCTATATCCTAGGTTCCTAAATAGCCCAGAACAAAGCACTAAACTCAAGGGCACGAAGAGGTAATTTAAATTTGAGGGAGCACAGTAATATCTGACATCTACCCAGCACTGCAGGAACTACTAGCCTGAGACACTTCACGGTTTCAACATTACATCGGTTTTTGATCATGTATAACTTTGTAAAGCTGGGTTTTCAGCAGCTGCTGTAATAAAAAACAAACACTATGCAAAAATCAATGTGGAAAAGGAAATAAGAGTGGCAGTGTCAATCTGATTACAAGGTATGAGAAGTTGCACAGTGCCCAACAGACACACAAATCCTGCTAGTAAGTGACTGTGGTTATTTAAGAATGAGCTACAAATATATTAATTTTCCTTCCATTTTTGTATATTATTCTTTC